AATTACACTGGCAAGAATAAATACATCCCTGACCTTAAAGATCAATTCATTATGACAATTCTGGCAGGAGAAGACAATTAATCTATCGACTTAACCCACCAACTTCCCACAAGATTCCTTCAGTACAATATATCCCATTGTTCCTTCATTATATCTATTTCTAAATCTAATTATCCAGAGACTATCTGTCTCTTATAAGTTGTTCCGAGACCTTTATGTGTCCAGAACTAAAAATGGACATTAGACCTCGTGTCTGAACTGATGATGAGGCGTGTTTAATTTAATTTTATGTAGTTTTACATTTGATGTTAACATTACATTATTTCTCAACCCCCATCGTTTTACTTCTGAAGCCAGAAATATGGCAAATGGCATTTGTTTAAAAAGACCAGTTACCCATTAAATTGCTCAGCTGTTTCAAGCTACAAATGTTTGTAGTTAACGTGGGGAAGATTAGTGGTTGGGTTTGTCCTAAAGTTTTAAGGGTCAATTAGCCTCTGCTTAGAGTAAAAGCAGTTTATCAGCTATCATTCACTCAATCCCAATAAATAAATTAGAGTTTATTGATGCTGGTGATAGGCTACCAGTCATTCCAACTTAGTTCTTGAAATAGTTAAAGCACTTGGTTGATTCAGGCTGCTGGAGGAGGATTTTTTTTTAAACTTACTTTCTATGTGGTTATTAACTGAAATGGCTGTTTGTCCGGTATTTGTTTTTCGTGATCATTGGAATAGATTGAAAATGTTCTTTCAGGTATGGTGATGATATCAACTGAGTGTTGCAGCCTTGGGTTTTAGGGCATTGTAGAATGGGGCCTTTCTTTGGGGCTGAATGTTGTTTGGTAGTGCCATTTGCATTTTGGTTTAGTTTTAGATGACTGTTCCTATTAATAATAATAATATTAATCCTTATTTATTATAGTGCCTTCTCACATCTTTGAAATGGCTCAAAGCACTTCACAGGATATGTAATGTGAATTGACTGTAGTTTGTGGGCCAAGCGCGGTAGCTAATTGCGTACAGCAGTAGACGCATTTTCAAAGAGATGAGCAGTAAAAGTTCAACATGTTAGTTAGAATTAGGAGTATGAGATCCTGGCTCAACAGGTTCAATAAATCAATTGAAATCTGGTATGAGAGAAATTTATAATGAATATCGTATGAACAAAAGAGCGTAAGAAAAGTATAATTGCCATCTGGCTAACCACTACCTCGTGTGAGATATTTCTCTCTGATGTGCATTGGGCCCCACTGGAGTTCCTCTGGTGGGTTAGAGTCCCCTCGGGTCCTGACCCAACTGTACAGCGCCTTGGGACGTCCTCCCGACGTGAAAGGCGCTTTATAAATGGAATCTTGTTGTTGTTGTTGTTGCTCCTGACTTGCTATCACATTTACTGTGTGGTGCTGCTGAATTTAGGGCTGACATCAATACCTAGACTTAAGATAATCTGAGCAGAGCAGATGCTTATGAAAAATAGGGTGTGTCTGGGATTACATTACAAGGTACTTGTTATATTGAGGTTTGGTATTAAAATATGGCTTTCTTACTGCATGATTAATTCAGTCCATCAGCCTTGTCTTTTCACCAGTGAATGTTGTCTGATCTTTTGATCTGTTAATCTCCTCCTTGTTAAATGTTCTGTTGACATTAGTGTTGTCTGCCTGAGAAACAATAACAAGACAGTAGTTTTAAATGTCGCAGCTGTACCATGGCGCTGGTTTGATTTTGTTGCAATTATGAATATTTATTTCCTGAATAAACATTGATTTTTTTTCCCCCAAAAAAAGTAGAATTTTCTTGTTCTTTTTGTCCCCAGACATTGTCTCTTCAGCGACAAATGATGGAGAACCTGATTATTGCCAAGGCCAGGCAGGCAGCGGTATCCTTTTGCGGGCTGCTATGTGGTGATCTTTCAATGATCGTAAATACATTTTACGGTCACGGGTTGATCTGAGTTTGTTTCGGGTTTAATCTATTAGATTGTCTCTCTTATCTACATCCAGATGTTCACACTGAAACACCAGTGTTTTAAAAAGACTATTTAAATTGAATGTGAAAACTATAAATAGGAGGTTTCATTGGGTCTTGTTGCTGGCTGGTTGTAATAGAAATCTACTGTATATCAATTGCTGAAATATTGGTAGTTCTTAAAAAGAGAAGAAAGTTTGTCCTGCTGTCCAAAGCTATAAACGACCAAATAAAATGTTGTTCATTTGCTTCATGGCTCTTTGTGAGACATTGCTGTGCACAAATTGGCTGCCACATTCACCTACAAAAGTCACCAGACATTACAGTAAATACTGTGAAGCCTTTTGAGGTGTCCTCTCAACATGAACAGCTCAATATTGAATGCAAGAATTATTATTAGTATTTAATTCCATCTCCTGTGTTAAATCTACCATAACGTTCTTGCACATTTGTTGACTTATTCTCTGTCGTCATGCCTGAATAGACAATGAAAAGCCAAAGAAACAGCAAACATGAATTTCAAAGTACTCGCTGCACATTTATTCTTGCCTTAATTGATCCAATGGTGGCCTCAATAGATTCAGAAAGTGTCGCCTTCACAGAAATTGAAAATGTTTCCACTATTGCATTTAACCTGGAAATTAGATATTTTCCTACTCGGTGGAAACAGATCTGAGATGTGCAGATATTTGCATAAAGGCAATGTGCTTCAAAGAATAAGATCTTTAAGATGGATAGTAAAATCTCTTGTAATGTAGTTGAGATTTGATAAATATAGTTTATGTAGTTGAGAATTAATAAATTGTAAAGGAGGATTTTCATTGAGAGCGCAAGGGGTTAAGTTAAATGTCTGAGACCCGCTTTTACCTTGCTCTGCAATGGAGAGGGTTTCAGCGCTGGATATAGAAACCCGATCTGATGTGTAAACATTTCCATTTCATTCGCGTCTCCACGCTGTTCAAATGCACCTGGAAAGAGCAATGCACGGTCTGGGAATGAGCATTTTCAACCTTCTAGAGTCTATGTAGTTTGATGTTTTTAACTATTGGATCCTACAAATTTTTTTCAAATCCTGTTTTTGTGGATAAAGTTTTAAGTTGCCAGACCAGCCAGCAGTTGCACATTTACAGATAGCCGTTGTCCATAACCGAGCACTGTACAGCTGCAGAGAAAGATGGAAGAGCGACGACTGAGACTGCAAGAAGAAGCCAACAGGTGATGGCCTTTAAACAATGATACTGATGGTCTTTTAACAGCCTGTGCGATTCCTCCTTTTTCTCTTGATAGCTTGAGAATCTAATGTAGTTTGTGTTTCGGTTAGACGATTTGAGTCCTTGAATTTATTATGTAAACCTATTTTATTATGGATAACCTGATGATGATAATAATAATACTTGCATTTGATATAGCGCCTTATCACATTTTCGAGACTCCTCAGAGCGCTTCATGGAATAAACTGTAAAGTGAATTCACTGTATATTTGTGGGTAAAATAGGATCTAATTTGCGAACCAGATTCATTGTGTTAATTACAGTTTTCTGCTTGTGATGGTTTGCATACTTTGTAAGCGGCGTATTTTGAATCCCAAATCGGCTACATCTGAAAAGTAGCTGGTCATGTCACTTTTTTCCCTAGTCACTCTTCATTCCAGAAGTTGCAGTGAACTCAACCAGTCTGATATTGTATCATTGCAAAGAATTGAAATTGGTAGCAGGGAAGGAGGAAGTATTGCACGGTTAACTGACCAAATTGTTTAATGTGGCTTTCCTTCTGCTATTCATGTTGATTGAGCTACTCGTGGGATAAAGCACAATTTCTAGAACGATGCCTGTGTGCGATTTTTTTTTCCAACCATATATAAGTTCATACAGAGTAACTGCATGGTCTCGTGTCTTTGGTTCCATTTTAAGGCGATTTTCAACTAATGCAACACTAACTCCTGAGGAAGAAGAGCAGAGAAATGTATACGCAAGCATCTTGGAGTTTGAGCAGGATCATGTAAGCACCACAAAGAAATGGCTCATTCTGTTCACACGTCTGAAAAGGTTTTGCATTTCATCCCTCGTGTTCCTTTTGGTACATATTTACTCTATGTATTCAGTGGGAAGCTTGCTAGATCGTACTCTCAACGATAAATATAATAGCTCTCTAGGTGCTTTTTAACTGGTTGAACTCCAGCAGTACCCCCAACACACACTCTGGAGTCCTCCAAGCCTTGGCTCTCGCTAACCAATGCTTACTATGCTCTGGAACTGGCTAAGCAGAGTGCTTCCCTCCAGGGGGAGATTCCATTCCTGAAACAAGGACATTTCTATGTGTAGGGCATGCATTTGTGAAATGCTCAGACCGGTTTAGATATTCTTAATCACAATGACAGGTTTCTGCATGTGTTGGACACCCAGTTTACCCCCCCAAAGTGCTGCTTTTAGCAGAAAATGTTAAAAGTATTTAAGAATAGTAATATATATTAATATGCAACCTTGGCAGTCATGAGGTTATTACTCATAATTCAAAAATTCTGCTTTCAGACCAGTGAGTTATCCCTCTGGGAATTATTGAATTAAAGACTTATAAACGTATTAAGTTAATACCGTAACTTAATATTTGGCAAAAGAAAGTTCTCAGTATTGTACACTTGCAGCAGAAATGAAACCAATTAATTCTAATAAATAAAACCACTAGCAGCAATTATACTAAAAGTTTTCTTACGTCTTTTGGTTTGCAGGAGTGGCCCAAACAATGGAAATTGAAACTAAAATCTCAGCCGAATGATCTGATTTTGGTGGGTGGCCTTGTGTCCCAAATACTGAGGTACAGACATTTGTGACAAATATAAATGCAAATGTATTTGAAATGTTGTTTGTTACACTGTAATGTAGAGGCAAGTATCCCACAAATGGTTCAGTTGGTTAAAGCCATTTATTCAGTCAATTCACTTCACAGTATATTCTGTGAAGCACTTTGAGACGTCTGGAAGACGTGATAAGTCACTGTATCAAATGCAAGTATTTGGTACAGTGCCCTATCACATCTTCAAGACGTCTCTCCAAAGTGCTTCACGGAATATACTATAAAGTGAATTGAATGTATAAAGTGTGGGTGAAACGTGGCAACCGAACTGCGCACAGCAATTGGCACATGAGTTTCACCCACAAAATATACATAATTCGGAGGTCAGAGTAAAGACCTTGACGTGAGAATAATGCTGTGAAATCGTGAGCTTAAATTAAGAAAGTATTCACCCTCACCAAACTGTTCTGGGAGTTAGTTTAACATTGGTTTATCTCTTACTGCAGCTGTCCAGAACATCCGATTTCCCAGCTACTAAAGAAACTGCAGTGCAGGATCTACAGCAAGCTCTATCCCATTGTGAATACACATTTCTCTGATCAAGTTGCCTTAACAGAACCAAATGCAGGTACTGGGTTATATCCGGCCCAAAGCCAGTGTTTGCTGAACACAGATGTGAAGTCATCACTCCACAAGGGAAGCAGGTTAAAGTCTTCCAAGAGTGCATGTTGTTTGGGATCTGTTCAAGACCACGTTAAAAACAATAGTGTTCGATTGAGACATAGCTCCTCTGTTACATCGGTGGTGTCCGTTGAAGATCACAATGCAAACACTGATGCTTGGGATCCCAAAGCACCTGGTTCAAACATAATGAAACCGAGCTGTTCAACCAAGGATTTTGCCCCAAATCAAGCGAGTGAGAAAAACAGTCCTTTCGAAGATCTGGAACAGGACATGATGAAGTTTGAGCTACAACCGGGAAGCATTGCAGACAACATGAATCTCGCTGTAAACAGCGGGCAACAGATTCTCGAAACGGAAGACATGCAACTGCAAGATCACTTGAAGAATATTGTAAAGGATGTGCACAACTCGATAGGTAAACAGTCGTCTTGAACTAGTAAGTGGACGGTTATGTAAAGAACAAGATGACCCCTTTGTTTCTTGGAGTAAGAAATGTCCACTTGCGTTTCTTTTCCTCCGCGCCCCACCCCCCCCGGCCCCTTGCGTAAATGTACAAACATGTGAGACAGACAGTGTGTTGATCAGAATGGACTACATTCAGCTGCTTGCAAAGTTTTCATTTATAGCTGCTTTACCAGCAGAGGGTGCAGTCTCCCTTCACTGACACCAAGTACATTTCATCTGCTCTGCGGACTCCAGCACCCCAGTTATATACTGAACCTGGTTTCAGTTACTGCATTGTGACTCCCTTCACATTCTTATTTTTCAGACCGATTGCTGACCTTGTGCATTCTGGCTTTTGAGCCTCTCGACAGCGCGACTGGAAAAGACCAATGTTTGGCCAGCATTGAGGAGACTTTTTTTCAGCCCATCTGGATGTTCCTGTTAGCTCTGTTTAGGTATTGTATTACCATTATCTGCACACAGATCGTTAATTTTTTTGGCCTTTTTCAACACCTTCAATGTCTGGATTATAATTACTGGAGTGCAACCAGTCATCCAATACATGGGTTGAAGCACAGACCTTGTTTTGAAGCGATTGGAGATTCAGTTTCTCTCTGTTGTGGAGAAACTCTCCTGTATGTTGAGAGACAATAAGATGTCAACGCCAATAGCCACTGCCATTGACATTCGTAAGCTCTCCTCTTCCAACTTGGCACCTGTATAAACTTGTGGAGAAGTGGGGCTAGGCAAGGTTTAGCAAATTTGCATTTGCTGACGTGGGAAGTTAAGCAAAGCATATGCAAGTGCAATAATCCACTTTTATTAGAAGCTGTTCTCCATAGTAGTATGCAGGTGGCAGATGGGTCATTGCGTGGTGGTTGGGGCACCAGTGGGTGTCAACTATAACTTTATGACCATCTTAAATTCCCATTAAAGTTTGTCAGTGTTGACTTTGGCTTCCCGCGTGTCATGTTGCACTAGCAAAACTTGTGTACGTTGCTGGGAAAGCAGGTTTTGATTTTTATATTTTGCTGCAGGAAGGTAAACCATTCGAGGGAAATGGCTCTCGACAAAAGCCTGAAACTGTACAGAACGGCTGGCCCAGCAGATGTTGGTGTTTCCGATAAACTTTTCCCCCACAAATCCACTCCCTCCATTGGTTCTTACCCTTATGAAATAGCTGTACAGGAGCTAAGATCAATAAGTAAAGAATTCTGTCCACAAAAAAAGCTGGAATGTATTGGTAAGTTGATTTTTTATTTCATGAGTCCCAACTCTTACACAGGTTACAACCTCCTAATATACAGAATGACACCTGGGCTTATTTTAAATGTAGAATTATACATATAATCTTAGAATTATAGCCTCCTTCTTTGCTGAAATAACTATACCATTGCCCCCCCACACCCAATCTGGTATAATTTTTTTTCAAGTGTTGATTCTTTCTTGTATTCCATGATCAAACCTGCTTCAATGGACTTGTGGTAACGTGTTCTGTATCCAATTAAACATTTCTTATAATTTGAGTTTGTTACCTTATTCATTAACCAGCGAATGTATTCCTTTATCTCTTCCCTTTTGAATGCTTCTCTGTTTCAGTGAATGCCACCCTTGTCTTTTTTTTTCTTTAAGCCTTTGATCATAACTATATCCTCACATTTGAATGACTCACTTATTGTTTGTTACAGCAAGTTATGATTTTTGTACTTTGATTTAAGAGGTGGATTAAACCCAAAAGTCCTGTTGAATCATAACCCTGTCCAGCATAATGTACCATTGTCCTTAATCTGCTTGTTCTTTATTAGCAGATATCAAATATACAATTTTTATGCATTAATCACAATTTCCTCTTGAATGCAAACCTAAGGATCCATATCTTATTCCATTATCTGTTTTCTCTTGTTCCTCCTTCCCAAAAGCCACTATCGTTTACTGTCTATCTCTCACCATAGTTAGTGCTTTGCAATAACCCAGAATCGCTGTGATTCACCAGACATCCCACTAAGGACAGGAGTCTTAGCAATAGAGTGGACAGCAACAGTAACTTTTGTGGAGCGGGAAGCAAGTTAAAGGCCACAGTAGATTTACGTTCATTAAGTAATTCCCATCACTATGAGGAGTAATTTGATGTGCAAATTGATAGTGCTTCCTTTTCTCCATTCCTCCCAATCCCACCAGCATGTGCTAAAATCATTGGGAGTTTTTCTCAGCAAACATAATATCAATTAATAATTTGTAATTCAGATTATTTTGTTCCTATAGTACGAACACTGCGTCTAATCTGTGATTGTGCTGAACAGTACTGCGGTTCCAGACAGTCTGGGGCCCTCATTGTTTCTGCAATGTAAGTACTGTACTGTGTGTTAGCATTTTAACACGGGTGAATGTTGTGCATTTATGTGAAGCACTCATTTATTTAATCATAACAATTTCTGTACCAGTTATTTCAAAAAGTCCTGCAGTAGACCATGACATTTTTGTTTTGGTGGGCGGTGTTTGTTGTCCAGGACACTGGGAGAAAATCCCTTTTTTCGAATTGCGCTATGGGATCTTAACGTCTCATCCAAAGGATGGCACTTCCAAGAATGCAACACCCCCCAGCACTGCATTGGAGTATCAGCTTAGACTATGTGATTAGTCCTGACGTGGGGCTTGAAACTCACAAGCTTCTGACAATTGTACAGGAAAAGCAAACATTTAAGCTATGTGGTTAATAAGGCACTGCTCACTTCCTGCTAAATGTGAACATAAATCTGATTTATAATCCCTCCAAAACCAAAAAAACAATAATAAATTGGTCATTTTCAATCTACGACTGTTTGTGGGACATTGCTGTGCGCAATTGGCTGCCGCGTTCGCCCACAAATATACAGTCAATTCACTTTACAGTGTGTTCTGTGAAGCGCTTTGGGACGTCCTCCTGACGTGAAAAGCGCTATATCAAATGCAAGGATTATTATTATTATTATTATTATTTGCATATTTCTTCCTTACCTAGGTGCATCTGAAAGACATTTAAATAAATTTAACAACTCATCTTGTTTATGGGAAATTTGACGCAGAGCTTGCCTGCACAGTGTTCCATTTTACATTCAGTTTTAATTATTTATGAGATCATTATTGACTGATTCTGTCCTGCAAACATCAGCTACATCTAGGCTATGCTCCACTGTTTTTTAAATACAAGTTTGAATGGTCTGAAATTGATTACCAGTCTCACATACCCAATATCTTTGCAAGCACAATAATCCCATTATAGAATTCAACTAGGAATCCTACAAATACTCTTTCTCTTTATTGAATTAAGTATTTCACTTTGCTATGTGAAGCAGCATTGTAATGATTTTTTGGGGAGGAAGGTAAGAGAGATTGGCGCTTGATGGCTCACAAAATTGGTATTGTTTCTACTAACTAAATACTGCTATTTCAGATATTCATTGCGCAGATGGGTTCCTTTTCAGATCACGGGGGATAGCTGATCGCTTCAAACAGAATTTCTTTGGAGCAATCTACATGACTCTTTAATTGATTGAGATGAAATGGATAGCTCAGAAAAATCCTGTTGTGGCAGCTGTATAACATTATAATTCTTTTGTATATTCCCAATTTAACCAGGTTCAGCTGGAGAGAGGGTAGATTGAGAATGGATGTTTCCCCAACTCTGACCCTGGTGCATGGCACCAAAAAATTGCCAGAGATTATCCAAGCACATCAGTTGGAGCTTTTACTTGAACAGTTGGTTCATTTAGCAATTGGTGCTTAACTCTCCAATTGGACTTTTTCAAAGGATTACATTCATCTGACAATTTGGAGATTTTTGTGTTGTATTCTGTGTTGCCTACAGGGCCAAAATACTTTGGGTTATGAATGGCACAATAGAAATGCACTAATCCACTTGTCTTAGTGTATTTGATAGGTGAGCTACGTGATAAGTGCTTACTGTAAGAACTGTCTTTGGGCTAAGTGTTGCCGAGCAAGCTGGTTTCAATTTCCGTCATTTTAGTTGATCCTTTGCAGATTTTTTTTGCCAAACAATAACTGATTTCACATAATCGCTACTTCTACAAGCTATGTCTCTTCACAGATTCCCTACGTGGTGAAAATTTCTCTTTTGAGTGCTCAGCTCATTTTGGAATTTAATAGTGAAGGCCATAAATAATCTTAAATCATGCTTGTTTGCATTTGTTTTTTTCAATTTCTCCACATGTATGTTTTTTTTCATGTGGAATTCTGTGCAGTATACATGAACCCTAGAGCTCACTGTTGCCAAATTCACTAACACAGATGCATACAAATGACAGTTAAAATCTGTGGCTGTGCAAGTATAAGTTTACAATACAAAATTACATTTGTACAGTGCCTTTCAGATCAGGACATTCCCAAGGAGCTGGAAAGTTTAGTGGGTTTTAGAATATGATTGGGGCAAAAATACAAAATTAGGTAGCCAAGTTATTTTAAATTAAACAAAAAGAATGTGGCAAATGAATGGTAATTGCGCAACCTGTATCAAATTTCAGTGTTGAACTCAACTGAAAGCGAAGTTGGCAAGCAGCATTAGTGTGAATTTAACACCTACTCAATACACAACCTGAGACCTGGTGATTTTCTATTTTGGAAAAGTATTTGCATAAAACCATTGCAGATCATACAAAACCCAAGGTATGTTGCTGTTGCAATCTGAGGTGAATTTTGTCTTTTTGTCACAGTCTTTTTGTCAGATCCCTAAAATTCTGATTGTGCTACTGTAGTAACATTGACTGTGCAGGTCAGGTATAAATAAAATTTGACTGGATCATAATAATCCTTGCATTTGATATAGCATCTCATCACGTCTTCAAAACGTCTCAAAACACTTCACAGAATATATTGTAAAGTGAATTGACTGTATATTTTGTGAGCAAAACGCAGCAGCCAATTGCGCACACCAGTGTCTCAGGTACAGGAAGTATCATGCCTTGGAGTGAAGGAATTGGTAAGCTTGAGGTGAGCTGATTAAACTTTGATTCTACAGAATAAATTAATCTTATAACTGTAGGTACGGTGCTTATTTTGATGATGGAAGATGGTAGGAGTTGACAGTTTGGCAGGATGAGATCCACTTTCTTCTTAAACTACCTCAAGATGGGGATGAAATTTGACACTCCCAAGCCTACAATGAATCTTTGGCTGCATTTTGAACTGCAAGCTATGTAAAAGGAACAGACAGGATATGTGCATTCCCACTGGAACCAAGTTTATGTTATTGATATAGATATTTGCAATTCATTGAACCCATTGTGGAGGTGGCACTTGTGTATTTAAGGTTCCCAGTCTAATTTCAGTAGCTATTGTATTTCCTTATTATTTATTAAATAAAGGTTAGTTGTTTTCCTAGCATCATTTAAGTTTGTGAGAACACTTGAAGGAAATGTTCTGCAATGGGGAATGTTGAGCTGATTGAAGTGCTTGGATTATCTCATCTCCTAATGCACCTGTGCTTCACTTCATCCTCTCGCTGCATGTCTGAATACTTTATAACCGTGGAGGAAAATGAGAAAAATATTGAATTGCCTCTGTGTAAGAGTTGACTTGATATTGCTTCAGGGTATAAACAAACCTCTACTTGCTTAATGCTCTGAAAATGGGAGTGTGCGTGAGTACTAACTAACCACAACTTACAATAGAAATCTAAAACCTTCACACTCTGTCACGCAAAGCTAATGTTTGCGTTGTTTTTCAATGTTTGCTTACCAAATATCCATGCTTGCAGATCTAAATACTGTGACAGCAGCCTTAATTGTTATTAGTGATGATCAGATTGCTTGGCACAGTGTTCCTGTTGCAGAAGCCTAAGCAGCCTTGTGGGCCAGTTACTATATGCCTAAGGAGTAAACCTGTGAGCGTCTGAAAGCAGAATAGTTCCTGTAAATATACACATCACACAATTGTGTGCAGGGGAGAGTTAAGCAGTGCTTGCCTTTCAGAAGACACAATTTCTGTTCTTCACCCAAAGAAATTGACGGGTGTTCAAGCAATCTTGTACCTGATCCTTAAGACATTGATGGGTTGACTCCTTACATGTTCAATTTGCATCTTAATCTGAATGAGATCTGCCACCTCTGATTTCAGAGCTTGGATGTCCTGACCAATGATTGCTTTTTGAGTAAAGTCATTTAAATCTGCCATTGCAATATGAAGTTCCTCTCTCCCAAAGAGATTCTGTCAAATGCTTTCACTTCCTCCTCGCTACGTAAAGTAGATTATAATTTCAACATCCATTCTGCATTAGCCAGTGAGAAATCCATGTTCATGGGGCATGTGAGTAGCTTGACGTTCTTTATTTTTTCGTACCTCCAAAAGAAGTATTCCAAGTTGTCCCAACAATAAGCTGATGTTAACCAATCTTGTGTAGTCCTGAACATGAAGCAGATTTCTTATGGAAAAGGCTCATTTCAAAAACTTACAAGAAATCAATAAGAATTCAAGACTGGTGCTCGGGCTTTGGAAAATTAACAAGTTCAATGTTTAGTGCTGCTCCACTGTTTATGTGCCATGTTTATTTGTACTAATCCTTATATTCAAGTTTTGTTCTGATCTTTCTCATTTTCCTCTTACAGTGGAGCTGATGATCTGCTCCCCATACTGTCTTATGTGGTGCTGAAGAGTAACTTAACCCAGCTGGTATCGGAGTGCGCAGCACTGGAAGAATTTATTCATGAAGGGTAAGAATTTAGATTGAGCTATTTTTGCGCTACCTTTTTAAAAAGTCAAATATTTTCTTTATTGACCTCAATCAAACAACATTGAATTTGTATTTTTTTNGCAATCTTGAACAAATAATTCTAACAAAGTACTACAGAATCTCTTTATTTATATAGCATTTTAGAGCAAGCAGAATTTAGCAAATTATTGATTTCAGCCTTGACTTTGAAGTCGATTTTCTGTGCTTCTTAAAAGAAATTTTAAGGAAAAAACATCCTCAACATTAAGGCTGTACTTCAGAATCTGCCAAATTCTGGATGAATAGATTAAATCTAAGATTATGTGGAATTTCTCCCCATTCATTGCCTGGCTTTCTTGATGAGCTTGTTTGCAATCTGTGGAGCTCTGTGCAATTGAATTTTACCAACTTAAATAATTCCATGTACAACAGTGAGGGCAGTTGGTTGAACCTAATATGCTACAGTTGTGGAAAATTTATAGGTTCAGCGAGTCTTCAGGGTGTGGCTGACCTTTGCAATTTTCTGTTAACTTGTTCTGGATTTAATATCTCCCTGTGTCCTGGCCAACGATCTCCCAGATAAAAACAGTCACTTGTTTCATGGCTGTTTGTGGGTAATTGCTATGCACAATTGTGCTGCCACATTTGCCTACAAATGCACAGTCACTTTGTGAAAGGCGCTATACCACACACAAGGACTATATTATTATAATACATTGTATTTGGAGTTGGATAATTCCTAAACTTGAGCCTATTGCTAAAGTTATGCGAAGAATGAATCAGTGTCATTAATAAATTGGAAGAAAAATGACTTGTCTTGAATTAATTCATAAGGTCATGTGATGTCAGCTGTAGTTTTCATTTCTTTGTTATGCTGTCATTTCGAAGACAACTTAATTCTTAAGCATTTTGAGCCCCAACATCTGTAGTTCATCACCTCTCAAACGGAAGAAATGTTAATTCTTCCTGATGTGCCACTTTTTTCACAGAGGGGCATTGATCTCGAGGACTAGTACAGAGGATTCTGACTGAGATTTCTCTTTCCTCTCTCAGCCAAACCACATTGGTAGAAATGTTATCCGGGCTGGTCAGCCTGGATAACATTTTACCAAAAAGGTCAAAACTGTCCTTTTTTTTTAATATGTGCACAATCTTGGCCAATTGCTCTTTTGTTTCTTGATTAGATCTGTTCAGGGTCTGCTATTTCTGAAATTAACTTAGCAACTACTTCTTGAGGTTTGGAAGAAGCTGGAGTTTTGTGTTCAACTTGTGTTGTAAACAGACTTACTCAGCGATGAACCACTTCTTGGGCAGGATAAATTTTGGCACTGAAACCGTGCTTATCGTCAGAGGATTAGAGAAACCATTGGATCTCTTTTGGAATGTGACTTGTATGCAGATCTGAATTGTTTAACTTGAGTTTGTTCTTTTTAAAAAAAAAATGAATCTCAACTCGGTGATTCAGTTGATTTATGGTTTCCCTGTGGAATGTAATGCATTTTGTCAGGGAATGAGCCACCCAGAGTGAGTTGTTTTCTCGGGAGATTCTTTTACTTTGTCACTTACTGCTCTCTTCCCTTCACCTGTCTTTTCTAACTAACCAGTAGCAAATATATTGAAAAACTTAGCGCCAAATCCCATGATATGGAAGTGTATCTTTGCAGACTAAGTGCAATTCAGTTACAATTGCTAAAATGTTTGTCACAGGACACTAGGTTTAAGTTGTTGAACACCATATTCTTAAGACTGATGTAGACTTGCTTTTTTTAGAAAAAAAATCAAACTGACGGTAAAAATATGAATCTCAAAATGGATCTAAATTAACTTTGACTTGCTCTTTCAATTCAATCATGTGCAATGTTAATGTACTTTTTCTTCTTTCAGGTATTTAATTGGTGAAGAAGGTTACTGCCTTACATCTATGCAGAGCGCTCTTTTGTATGTGGAATCTTTGTCCAAAGAATAAATAATATATTTAAATACATCTCATACTCCCCCACATGTCTATAAAAGTGGCTTCTTCTAAAGCAGATTTAGTTTTGTGCATTAAATTCTTTGGCTAAAGCACTTTTGTTTTTTCACCATTAATATAAAATCATTTGGAAAACAACCAATCTAAGGACTGCTCGTGGTAAAATGATATCCTCGCGCACACTCTATCTTTACTGTATATATGACTGGTATAGGGTAAATTATATTATTTCTGTTTGAGGGAAATAGTAGAAGATTGCATGAGAGATCAAGAGGATATAACATTAAACTTAAGTCACAGAACTGTTTCACACTGGAGAACGCATTTACTGAACTCCGCACTACCACAGTCGGCTGTACTGCTATTTCTATGAAGCCAATTTTGTCAATGGATAATATCTTTCAATATTTTTATTAATCTTTATTTAAGCCTCAATACTCAAAGACTTGTTCTTAAGAAGATTTTAATTTACTACGTTTATTTAGCTGGAGTATTATATATTTTTGTATATATTTCATTCTGAATTATTTAGAGGGAAAATAAATAACTAATATTAATTTAAACTTGTCATCTTCCAGCTGCCTGTCTTCCTAATGCTATTTGAAAAATCTTTAAATTTCCAGTTTACAAGATGGAAGGAATGTGCATTGCTTATTACCGCTATTACTTTGCATGGTTTTTCTGCCCAGCCTAGGCGCGAAGATATGGTCACTCAAGTGATTCAAGCAGACTTAGTTGACTTTAGCTTGGATAGCTTCTGGAACTATGTTAGTTACTTACTCTTTTAATGTTGGCAGCTGTGCTGTGGTTTCAATGCAATTTGTTGTTATGGATTTGTTATAGTTTTTATAAAGTCTTGGGGCTGCAAGGAGTAGCCTTTCAACTCCTAATTTTTCGTCTGGTCTTACCTTAAATTCCGTGTTGTGACATGTGCGCACATACACAGGAGAAAAAAGCTTTGCTTCATTAGTCCATTTGCTTAAAAGTCAGCAGCAGTGGTTAATTCATTCATTGTGTTGAAACTGATTGAAATGATTGTGTTAAAAGGCTCTAATAGTTAAAATTGGACTACGTTGATGTAATTTTTTTGAAAGTTTGATCGAAGCAAATCAGGTTTTCCTCGACTAACTAATACATTATTGGACTTCTAGACATGAGCATTCAGACAAACTTTTATTGTGGATTCTGAAATGTAAATTGCAGTGGACAAAGCTGAGAAATGATATTAACATGTCTTCCAAAATGTCATTAACTGCTTGGAAAAGCACTTTACTGTTCACAAGGTATGTGTTGGCTCAGGGAGTGGAGAGCTTGCTCGTAGCTTTGCTGTCCTTCAGCTGTTATTCATTCAAAGTGTGAGGGTTTTTTAGGGGTGGAGTGAAGAAAGCTGATATTGACATATACAATAGATTGAGATCAGAGAGTGGTATTAAAATAGTAATAGTATCTGAGTGATTCTTTTTCGCTCCTTTTTTTTCCCCGCTTTTTCTCCTCCTCCCCCATCAAAGGAAGCTTCTGTATGAGTTGTGTAAATCCCATGATAAATGAGTGAGGATGCAGGAACCTAATTTAACCTTTTTTGCAAAAATGTATGTAACTAAAAAACGCAATGGCTGAATACTTTATATTTATCTGGTGTACATGTTTGGAACTTGGTCCTCAAGAGAAGTTATTTGGGTCATCCAATTGAAGTTATTTTTCAATGAAAATAATTGGGTGGATGTCCATCTATTTTAGACTGCTGATTTTAATGGAATTACTAGTCCTCAGTGCATGATTTGCCAGATGAAATTTACTGATGTTCTCTCTCCTTGACTTGCTTTTGGCATAGGAATGCTATTAAGAGACACTGCTCACAATAATGTACATCTTAAAAAGACACTGACTGGGTGGAGAAAATCACTGGTAGTGAACACTGACCCACTACACACGTTCCAACATTCCTAAGAATGGCCTCAAGCAAGACATTGATTGAAATTGGAGCCCTCGGCAAAATACATTGAATGGCACTATTTTTAAGTTAGGAACAAGAGGGAAGAAAAATATTGAAGCCAATTTAAGTGGTCTGAAATCAACTTGTGCCAATATAACAGCAACTTTGTGGCTGGTGTACAAATATGTTATCAGATCAATGACTCAGATTTGACAATGCACAGATGCAAAATTCAGAAGTAATTTTAGATTCTCCCATTAGTGGAGTTTATATTGGAGAAACTTTACAGGAACAAATGTGTATGATTGTTCAAATTTTTAAATGGAATGTTACCTTTCAGTCTACCTCTGGTCTGAGACGGTAAACTTCCCCTAATTCTGGGAAGAACACTAGGAAGAGATAGAGCTGTGACAATATTTTATTTGGAACGGATTCTTACTCAAAGCCCAACTTTTAAACTGGTTGAAATTTTCTGTGATTCCCTTTGATGGCAATAACATTCAAGGCTTCTGATTCAAAATGAGCCACGGAAGATGAAAAATGGCTATTGCTTTACTTTTACTAAATGTATCCATCACTTTTGCATATTTATCTTATATTTGATGATTTCATCAAGTTTCTCAATTACAATAATATAGTCATTGTTACAACAGTCTGCAATTTGCCCAAAAGTCTTTTGTGTCTTCTAGGTATCTTATGGGGAAAAAAATGTAGATTCTCACAAGGGAAAAAGGGGGGAATTCTGTACACTGGGGATATATGTGAAGTAAACTGTGAGGATGGAATTATTTAATTCTGTGCAATTTCAATGTATTGTATCTTCAAATAACATTTGTAACATATTCACTTTACAGCATTAACAATGAAATTAATTTATGTGCTACTCTGTATGAATGCAGAATATAATTTTTCTGGCTGAATTGTGTGTTCACTTGTTTAAATATTTGTACTGTGAATATATTAAGCAGATGCATCTGGAATTATTGTGATCGTACATTTTAAAAATAAAATTAAAAGATGTGGTGGAAAAAGTATGCCTCGACAATATTCTTGAGTTTAAGTGTTATTCTAAAACCATTTATTTTACTCCAATTGTGTCACTGAGACAAACATTATCCTTAGTATTTTAATAATAACAAGTGCTTGAGGTGTTGGCCTGTATCAGTTGGTCGCACTCTTGCCTCTGATTCACAAAGTTGCAAGTTTAGGCCACATTGGGACTGAACTCACAGTACACTCTTACATGGTTAGGGAACTTGGTTCATGCTGGATCCAAGTAAGCATTGCTTTGCGTTGAGCTGACGAATGTAGGGTTATCATCTGGTTCTTGAAATTAAATGCTCACACCTGCTGTGAGATAAATGACCAAGAATGGTGTGAGGCAGGGGAGAGGGAATGAGAGAGAGAGAGAGAGCACATTTGAAATGTTTTTTGCCTCAGCAGAAAGAACCTCCTGTGGTATTTAAGGCTTCTATTTGATCTCGTAGAATTGAAAATTGCCCCCCCCCTCCCCCGTAAACTAATGCAGAATCAGTGCACAGAGGGTTGAATTCTGAGAAGCTATTTTAAACATCAATTCAGCTGAGGGTGCTGTCCTCAAATCGTTAACAGAACCTATTATTCGGGCACGATGCTGACTGGATCAGACGGCTGCGAGTGTGCGTGATTACTGCAAGCGTGTCCATTGACAAGCAGGCAAGCTGGACTGCCAGAATGCCATCAACAATGGAACAAACATGCCACCCTACATCATGCACAGGAGACTGAGTAAGAGAAAAACATTCGCAAACTGTTTCCCACAAATGCTTCAAACCCTTTTATCCCCTATGGGTACCTTTAGCTCAAGGAGGATTTAACTAGCATAGTTGTGAACTTTTAGTGTTTTTGAAACGCATCTACTTTATTCACTGCATTGAATTTATCATGCATATCGTTCAATCTGACAAAGGATATAAAAATGATTAAAATGTGCTTATTTTGATTTGTTTGTCTATTTTGCCAAATCATTTGTTTAAAGGGAAAACAAAATCCAGGAAATAAGTTTTATTACAGGTAAATACTTAAAATATTGGAGTGAGGTAGCTGTTGACAGAGAATAGCAGAGATGTAATCTTATTTCCTGCAAATGATGACTTCATATTTGTTGAAATATTTTCCATAGTTATATGGGAAAACATTACCATAGGTCACTGGACAGATTTTTGGTGTAAGTAAATATTATTGTTGAATGTTATATTGAATTGGATGCGCACCAGGGTTCATTGTTTGTATAAATTGACATCTGAAAGAAAGCTATCGTGCCTTGTATTGTGCCATAATTTAACTTGTGATATTATTTGAACATTTGCTCTCCATCTGGACAATAGCAGACACCTGGCAGTGATTCCAGTCTGCAAACAAACACCAAGTAAGAGACCTAAGCTAAAGAACTTTAGAAACATCAACTGGATGACAGAATTTAAGGACACCTTTGAACAGGCTCAAAAAAAAATCAGGCAAGGTTGCTGTCCCCAATCAATAAACAACAACAAATTACATTTCTATAGTGCCTTTCACGTCGGGAGGTTATCTCAAGGCACTGGATAGTCAAGGATTTGGACCCCAGGAGGGTAGGAGGGTGACCGAAGGCGTGGTTAAAGTGTCTTGAGATGGGCCTTGAAGGAGGCAAGGGAGGGAGCGAGGTTGAGGGATTGGGATGGAGTTCCCAAGGGTAGGGACAAAAAAGCTGAGTGATTGCTACTGTAAAGTGGATGTGTAGGCGTTAGGTATCAGGATCAGGCTTGGTTGCGATGCCTGCCAGCACTCGCTCACACGTGAAGAGTAAACTTTGATGAGGTACCAGAGGGCACTTGGCGATGATAGAACCACACCCTAGCTACAGTCATTACTCTTTAGGAGAAGGCTTAATCTTCTAATAATCTCATCTGAATCGTGGATCAGAAGTTTACAGATTTTGAAAGAAAAATGAAAAGTTGAAATTGCATGTGCAAAAGCTTTATTTAACAAAAAAAAAGATTTTTTTTTTACTCTTTCCCAAGAATTTTGAGTCTTTTTAGGGGATTTTTCCAAACACACATTTGAGAGTCTTGCATTACATTAAGTTTCAAAGAATTTCTCTTACCATAAACGAACAAACCTCAAGATCAGTCAATCTGCGAAAAAAGACAGAAACTCCCCCTCACCCCAGTACTGCAGTGCCTTTCTTGTGTTTACTGTGACCACTTCTCGAGGGGAAGCTGTGAAGTGGGCATTGGTAATGCTTCAGATAGGCCTCAGCCTATTAGGGCTTTGCCCTATGAGAACACGTCTATTTCTCCAATTTTTTATTGAATTACTGTGGACTTGCCTGACTAAGTCTCTTCACAGCCGCTTTTTACTCCTTTTTTACATCTTGCCAATTGCGCACAGCAGTGTCACACAAACAGTTGTGGATTGAGTGACTAAATATTTTTTTAAAATGTTGATGAGATTATTACCCCTGGAAAAGCGATCCGCCAATCAACTAACAACCGAGTTCCTCCTTACTGCTCGGTATACAGGTGTGTGGGGTAAGGAAATGTGCCCTGTGTTTTGCCTAACTCTGCCCTGCAATCAAACCTAGGTCCTCTCACTTGCAAGGCGAGTGCTCTAACCATGAAGCTACGGGACTCCACAAAGTACTGAAAGGGGAGAGAAAACTAATAAAACTGAAGATTAAAACAGAATTATAAAAACAACTGGTGACGACTTATTAGAAACCTCAATATCTTGGAGCACACACAGATTGAAGCTGGTTCAGCCTACGATTCAGACAGGAATGAGGGACAATCTGAGAGTGTCTCACCCTCTGTGGACTGAAATGGGTTTGGTAAAGGGTGGCATATTGAATATTTAAGTACAGGAACTCAATGATTGTCTATTGTTCTTTACAGTAGCGATGTTTTTATTTTTCTGCCTATAGTGTAAATGCTCTCTCTTCCACATACCCCTCCCCCCTTTCCAGGAATCCATAACAACACAACAACAACAACAAAATGACATTTATAGAGCGCCTTTCAGGTCGGGAGGACTTCCCTAAGCGCTGAACAGTCAAATGTCGGGGCCCGAGCATGGGGGAGAGATGGTATAGGGGTGAGGGAAGGCAGAGAGGTGGGAGGGAGACCAAAGGCATGGTCGAAGAGAAAGGTCTTGAGCCGACCTTGAAGGAGGCAAGGGAGGAAGCGCTGCGAAGGGACCGTGGGATGGAGTTCCAGAGCGTAGAGGCAGAGTGGCTGAAAGCCCGGCCACCGATGGTCGAGCGGGTCGGGCGGGAGACAGGGAGAAGGCCGGAGCCCGATGAACGGAGGGAGCGGGCAGGCTCGTAGGGAGTCAGCAGGTTAGAGAGGTAGGAGGGGGCAAGGCCATGGATGGCCTTAAATGTAAGGACGAGTATCTTGAACTCGATCCTCTGGGGATGGGGAGCCAGTGGAGTCGGGTGAGGGTGGGAGTGATGGGACGCAGAGCAATCTGTTATTGATGTTTTCAATGTTGAGTCACTAGCATGTAACCCCTCCTGCTGACATTGCAATTGTCTCTTTTGAGGACATAAATTTTGACATTTTTGACCTGATTTAGGTCTACATGTTTCCTGAGCTCTGTACAACTCTTCAGCTGGCTTTCTGTGCTATGCCATCCATGGAGCATTCAGTGACGAAGGCACCATAATAACTTCCTTATACTTCAGGAAACATCTTATAAAGTTTTTTATAAATCAGGGATAAATACACACACAGCCATAATGAACAAGTGCAAATGTCCACTTCCATGCCCGACAGTGTCATAGTCTGTAAAGAACAGAATTGCTGTGTTAGAGGTTGATGAGGGTTGTTGTTTGTGTGACAACTACATGGCTATTTGGGTGCAGAATCCCTAGTGGAAAGTAACTTGCTGGCCTCTTGTCGATATGAGATGGTTCTGTCACTACACTGAACCAGTGAATGTTTAAGGTCTAGATGCAATATTTCAGACTTGCTTCCTGTTCTTCAGATTTATGGAGCTCTCTGGCATTCAAACAACAGCTCTTTGATGAGTTTTCCGATAAGATTTGTGGTGAGTCTTTTCAACATTAAGTCAACTTAATCTCTTCAGCTCCAAAGACACTATGTCTTTTGTCCACACGTTCCCAAGCTGTCTGTATCTGCCTGGCAGGCAATTTGCTCATACAACTGTTTATGTTGTAGTTAAGAGAAATGATCTAAATATCACCTTAAAATTATAAGAACTTTGGAATGAGAAAAGGCAGAAAACCCTGTGAATATTATTGGTGCAAAGCAATAGTACAGTGGAATTTCAGGAACATGATGGATTTGATTTGATGCTTCAAATCGATTGTGTATGGGGGGCGGGGGTGAAATTTTCCAAACACACGATCACATGTTCCAAAAACGTGAAGCTGACGCAGGTCACAAGAATAAAAAGCGAAATAAAGAAGTTAATAATCAAAGTGAATATCGGCCTGAGGGATAAAATCGTTGTTATTGACTTATCTATTTTATATCTCGTACTTGTGCTGTCAGAATTGCATTCTGAAAGGCTTTAAAAATATAACATTGACAGCTGTCGTGGGCAGCAATGAAATGAATCAGAAAAAGAACCAGTAGTCTTACAACAGGGCTAAAGATCTTACTACTGGCTCAAACAAATTACATTTTAAATGCAGTGTAAATACCAGCCACAAATTAATAAATCATTTGAGAGGCAGATAGACATTTTCTGTCTGTAGAGCTCTGCAGCAGCTAAACACCAGATGCATGGTGATGGTCTTCCAATGGCTTCTGTTTTGCACCTTCCCCAGATGTCTTGGCTGCGAATCACAATGCCAAGTGTTGGGAAATGTGGGCATGAGCACCTGTGGAACAACCTCACTAACTACCAGGTCATAGTTGGCAGAAATACATTTGTGATTGACGGCCAACTAGTCATTTAATTCAAGTAACTTCTTGTTCAGGTCACAGTTAGACATGATTCAACTTCAGCTGTACGTGGCAATGTG